TGAGCCACCGCACCCGGCCTCAATAAAGTTTTATTAAAATCCTTCTGCTCCCAACAAAAGATGCTAGGTCCACTGTTGTCACCACAAGTCCTTAGAAAGGACAGTATTATAAATGAAATGAACAGAGGCTTTAGAGTAGAATATTTGGTTCTACACTAATGAGTTGCTTAATTTTTTAAAGTTTATTTTCCTCATCTACTGAACAGGTATATCAATAATTGCTCCTATCTAACAGGGTTAATGTGAGAATAAAATGACATAATGTCTGTACAACCATTTTATAAACAATAAAGTGCTTTTAAAATGGCAGTTAATTTTTGAAAGATGAAGGTTAGGTGACCATGGAATTAGCAGGTTTCCTACTAGGTCATCTGGATCTAGTGGGAGTAGCACTGAAAGGCATTTTATGTACCTTGATGAGTTGATTATTCTTCACATAGTGCAAAGTATTTGACCGATTACCACCAGCAACCACAGGTGGGTAGGCTAAGATGTCTGCGCCACGAGCTCGGCATTCAAATTCAAACTGTGAAAAAGAACAGCAAGGTATGACTAAAGGATTTCTATAGGGCTGCCGCAGTCCAGGTTCTCTTCAACAGTCCATACCTCCATACCAGTACTTACGTTAGGTCACTACTGGAAAACTATTCATGTCTAACCAAACATTTTATGTTGTAATTTCGGTCCATTTCTTTTATTCTCACCCCATGTACTATAACCTGTGTATGCTATACATCTTCTTTTACTCCCATGAATCCTGTATTCAACCCTATTATTAAATGTGTTATTTTCTCCTTACTGTTCTCTATATTTCCCACAATTTTCAAATAAACTCCAGAAGACAGGCTGGGCGCGGTGGCTCACGCCTGTAATCCTAGCACTCTGGGAGGCCAAGGCAGGCAGATTGTTTGAGCTCAGGAGTTTGAGACCAGCCTGAGCAAGAGTGAGACCCTGTCTCTACTAAAAAATAGAAAGAAATTAGCTGGACAACTAAAAATATAGAAAAAATTAGCCAGGCATGGTGGTGCATGCCTGTAGTCCTAGCTACTCGGGAGGCTGAGGCAGGAGGATCCC